ATCATTTATTTACAAGTTTTATGAAAGAAATAAAGATGCATTTAGGCTCTGTTCAGAGGAAGTGCTTATCAACAATGGATGCAAATGAATCTGATGCTATTTGGAATAGCTTCATCAACAGATTCAATACTGTAGCATCAAATATGAAGAATGTATGTTCTGATGATGCGAAGCTCAGATTTGCTGAAACTGCTAGAAGTTTAATCTGGACTGTTAAAAGATCTGCACCATTGCTTCTTAAAGATGCTCCTTCATCCTCTGAAGTATGTGATACAGAAGTGAATGCTGAATCTGCATCTGAAGAAAACCCTCTGGCTATGACTCTTGTAGAACATCCCTCTGGATCTGTAGCTCCTGACTCTGCATCTCCTATGGAAATTGACTTTGTTCCTGCTTCAGGCTCTGCCCCACCTTCTTCATCTGAGGTCAAGAAAGAAAATCCAGATCTTGAAGATAAGATTGCAGTTCTGGAAGCTGGTCAATCTGAGATTAAGTCATGGATGGCCAAGCAAGATCAGAAGTCTGAAGACATGGCTCAGTGGATGTCCAAACAAGATCAGAAGAATGAAACCATGGCTAAGTGGATGTCAAAGCAAGAACAATCCTCCTCTGAGATCACTGAACTGTTGAAGATGATCTTGTCCAAACAAACTTAGTTTATTTTTTTTAATCTGATGTTTGCACATGTATTTGAATATTATCTGACGTTTTGTATCTTTTGATCTATATGAATGAATGACTAAGTGTTTTTCTCTACATGATTTATCTTTTCTGTATTTCCTTTTATTTGTCCTTTAATTTTTTTTTTACTTTTTGATTATGACAAAAAAGGGGGAGAAAATGGATCTGACTAGTCAAATAAACTCTACCTAAATGTAACTTCAGACATGTCAATTCTAACTAACGTAAACTCTTAGTGTTTAAGAACATTTGATAAATCTAACACATTCTTTAAAAGAAACTCTGAGATCCCCAGATCATATTTAACTTATCAGACTCTGACTCTGAAACAAGCAAGATTGAATGATTAGAACATTCAGGCTCTGATTCTGAAAAGAATACTCATGCAAAAAGGGAAGTTTCTATTCCTTCTTAGTATTCAATTCAGGGGGAGATTCATCATCTCAGGGGGAGTTATAATTATTTTCTTTACTATTAAACAAAATTTCTGATGTTTTTGTCATCATCAAAAAGGGGGAGATTGTTAGAACACAGATTGGTTCTTAATAATATCTCTATGTTTTGATGATAACTATTATGAAATTTTGTATTTAAGAATTATATACTCTAAAATTTGCTTGAGAATGTTTGCTGCAGATGTTAAAGTAAATATCACTCCAGAAGCAAATTAGATATGAACCTAAGAAATATGCAAGGCTCTGAAGCGTCAGAAGCATCTCTTAGAAGAATTTGAACGCTGTCTCCAGAAGATTCTGAGCGCTGCCTCCAGAAGAATCTGAAGCAGAAGCTACAGAAGAATCTGAAGCAGAAGCCAGAAGCATCTGAAGCAATGAAGAATTCTGTATGAAGAGCTTTCAAGCACAGTTACTTCAGAAGACTCTGATAGTACTAACACTGCCAGTACTGAGGATCTGAACCAAAACTCTGCTCTGAATTTATACACGCTGAAAGCACACTTACTGCAAAGACTCTGATTCAGCAAAACTCTGATGAACATCAGAAGGCTCTGACCAATTTAGACTCTGATGATTCTTGCTGAAAATTGTTGAAGAAGAATTCAAAGATTATGTCCGTTGGAATAACCAAACGACTCTTTCCTTATTTATGCTAGACACAAGAACACAGACAAAAAGGATTTCTCTGTGCATTCTTCTTCTAGAAAAGGTCACATGATGTGAAGACAAAAAGGCTCAGACCTTTTGGTACACTATTCTCAACGTGAAAAGCTCTTGGATCACTGTGCCTATAAAAGCAAGTCTCCACTCATCTTCTTCAGTTGACGAAAACACTTGAAAAGAATTCATTACAAAGCTCTCATACTATTCATACATTCTTGCTAGAATTATTTCATTGTTCTTAATCTTAAGTGAAAAATCACAGTTGTGACAAAGCTTTATTAGAAGCATTTTTAACACTTGTATTAACATTACATTTGATTGTAAGAGAACCTTAAGAAGATCCAGTTAGGATCAGTAGTTCTTGAGAAGACTTTGAACAGTTGTTCTTAGTGCTTACTATTGTAATCAGTTGATTAAATAGTGGATTAAGTCCTTGTTTGAGAAAGGCAAATCACTCTAGATAGGGTGGACTGGAGTAGTTGAGTTCAAAGAACCAGGATAAAAATCATTGAGTTTTTATTTCTAAGTTTTATCTTCATACTTATTCAACCCCCCTTCTAAGTATTTTCTCACCTTCAACATGTGCTATAAGTAAAGGGATGTCTCAACCAGAGAGCAGATGAGCAGGCGACTCAGTCTGATGGTGTGAGCAAGGCTAAGTCTTAGACATGCTCTCTAAGCAAGGGAAGTCTTAGACAGCTGGTCTGAGCAGTTGTAAAAGTCTTATGCAGAAGCATAAGGGATTGTAATCATGAAGTGGTTGTAATGAAACAATCTTGTGAGCAAGGGGACTTGACTACTCTCAGTTAAGGGAGAAGTCAGTTTAAATCTTTTGTGTCTTATGCCGTTATTTTATTTACTTTTGCTGTATCCGCTACAAACTGAATTAACTCAGAATCTAAACATCAGTTCTGATTCTGAGACTTTTATCAGAAGCTAAATAATAAGAAAAACACAAAACACAATTCAATTTCCCCTTCTTGTGTACTTTTCACACCTTCACATACACTTTATCAACCTTAACATCCAATGGTCATGTACGGTACATCATAGTTGGTACTCATGTAACAAACATAATAACCTATGAGATAAGTAAGACAAAAGGGAAATTACAGCGTAAAAAGTAGACATGTCGACCAATGTGATACTTGGTCCTTAGAATGAGGTGGCCAACCTAAGACTTACAGTGCTCGATAAGGGTTAACCGAACATCACACACCATTATCCAGTTGACACACAATTTTGTATGTTCCATACCCAATCATTGATAACTAAGGACATAATGTTCCTCGAAATTCATGTCTCTTATGAATTTGAACCTGACAGTGATCAACGAGCCAATTAAAAATATCCGAAAGCATATAATATAAAAGAGAGACTTTGATTTTAAGATAAAAAATCATACACCACACACTCAAGACCTGCCTTAAAACCTTAAACATCCATTACAGTCAAAGTTAAATCCTAGAATTATTTTTTAGTTATAGCCGACAAAATAGGTCAGACCAACCAAAGCAATCTGAAAGTCCGTAAAAAATTCCGGACTTAAAACAAGAAAATTAAAACTCGTTTATCATGCATGTAGACTCTTAAGTTTACCCATTAAAAACTCGATGTTTAATAGAGTTAGTCTAACCGGATTGTGGACAGCCCGCTTATTTAATTTAGTTTTTTTTTCATAAAAATTATAACACATTATACTATTATAATTATTTTTTTAATAAAGATAGAATATTGATTTTTTATTCATATATATTAAATACATATCATTTTTAATAAAGATATAATATTGATTTTATATTTATGTATATATTAAATATACATTGTTCTAAAATAAAAATATAATATTAATTTTGTATTTATATATATTAAATGTATAATATAATTGTTTATAGTTAAATATTAATCTAATTATTAATTAGTTTAATTTATATATATCAAATACATCTTATATCTTATATTTATTTAAAGTATCCATGTATTTGATTTAATTTCAATTTATTGAAATGAATTTAATATTCTTTGTTCTGTTTTATAATTGATTAATAAATAATCATAAATATGAATAAATTTTATTAGTTTTTTAAATTAAAAATTAATATTAAATATAACTCATTTCAAACCAAATAATCGTAATTTAAAAATGGTTGGACTTAAACAATTAAATTATAATTTATTTAAATTCTGAACATTTAAGTCCTACTTAATAAATGCTCAAATCTGTTGTTTCGAAAATATCAGATAATCTTTTTCGACAAGTACTCTGATATTTAATATAAAAATATTTTATTTTTTAAATATATTAATCTGAATTATATATAATTTAAATACTACAAAGTACTCCATCTATTCAAAATAACTGACATTTTAATAAAAAATATTTTAAAATAATTGTTATACTAAATTTTTAATATAAAAATAATTATTAATTTCTTAATTATGTAATTTAATTTATTCTTTACACTATTTTCAATACACTAATAAAGTTAATTTAATAAAAAAAATAAAACTTTACCATAATATCATCAAACTTTTTAAATTTGTTTTAAAAATCTTAAACCATGTTCATTTTAAAAAAATTCATTTTGAAAAAGTAAATTAAATTTTTCATAAATTTGAGGTAGGATAATTCTAGGCAAGAACAAACACCAATTGTAAATTCTACATCAAAAGGAAGGTCCATTATTCATGTCGGAGTAATAAACTTGACAAAGTCTACCATCTCATCCCTTTTAGTCAAATTGATTGAATACCAATGTCGAAATGAAAGTGGCGGTGCACATCGTAAATGCGTGGGTTCCGTGATATCATGATGGGACATCCAATCTCAGTATAGAATTGCGCGTAAGATGAAAGACTTGTCAAAGATATTCCATCATAGTGCCACGTGTCATAATCACATTTAGTCATACACAAAGACCCAGCCAAAGTAATGTTCGCTAACTCCGTTGTTTGTTTCTTCCAAAAACGCATAACAATCAAACTCAAATTAAATATTAAAATTAATTAATAGTACAATAAAACTAAAATAAAGGTAAAGAAAAAGAAAAAAAGAAAAGAAAAAGATTAACAACAACTACAACTACAACTACAACTACAACACCCACACACTCCATCACCGCACCAAACAAAAGCCCCTTTTCCCTCTTTCGCACTCGCTAGGGTTTTCTCTATTCGCATCTCAATTTTCCGATATTCTCCATGGATGAGGTAACACCGATTAATTCTTACTTTGATCCGATTAATTTTATCTCAGATTATTTTGTGTGTTTTCTTCTAATGAATCGTGATTTCTTGTTATTCGATTTTGATTTTTCTGAAATTAAGAATTGTTTGATTTTCCGAGGTCGGTGTGGAGTTTGATTGGTTAATTTTCCGTTTTAGGTTCCTGTGTTGTTGGAAGAGAATGAAACAAAGTCTGAGGCGCATTTGACTTCTGCTGCTGCTTTTGTGGAAGGTGGAATTCAGGAGGCTTGTGATGATTCTTGCAGTATATGCCTTGAATCCTTCTCTGACAGTGATCCTTCTACGGTAGGGTTCTTTGTATTTTGTTAATTTTGATGGGTCATGTGGTTGGTAGTAGTGATCACTGATCAGTGATTACTGTAGTGTTGTTGTGTTCGTCTATTCTAACATTTTACTGTTATTTTACCTTTAGGTAACGAGTTGCAAGCACGAGTTTCATCTTCAATGTATTTTGGAATGGTATTGCCTTTTGAATTTGTCTGTTAAATCTTTTGAGTCGGTCTTGTGCTGTATCCCTAACTACGGTGACAATTTTATACTGTTTTCTCTTTTCCAGTATACCTCGGTCACTGAAAAAATGGCTCGGTGATTTATAATTTTTTTTTATTGCCCAGTTCTGATTTTGAAGGAAAACTGACCTTGTAATGTAGAGTGTACCTAAAGATATGCCAACACCCAATTTGAAATAGATTAATAGTAACTACTACTACTACTACTGCCCAGAGTGTAGTACACGGGGATGTGTTCTTGGAAGTTAGACTTAAAAGAAAACCTTTGTGGCCTTGATTTTAGCAATTCATAACACACAGTTATAAAGATGTGTGTTTACACCTGAAGCTTAGTGTCCCAATTTCAATGGTTCTCAGGGCCTATGTCAATAGCTTATGACATGCTGTTCTGACTAATCTGTATCGTCCCTGAATTCATTGTATTATCATTGTTTTGAGGTACTGTTAGCTGCCTTGACTCTCTTGTTATTCAAAATCATCTTGTGCTCATCAAACCTTATGACAACAGATCAGTAGGGACTTGACTTTCAAAAGTTAACACGCAGGAACTTAACAGTAGCATTCCAGAATCAAAATTTCAATCATTATACATTTGTTACTTCATATATCGGTCCCCGTTCCATGGAATCTTGCTATTCTAATTTGGTTTTATTTTATTAATTGCTGTAAGTGAAATGCTTTTCAAAATAAAGGCATTTACACATGTTTTTTGGTATTGCATACTTTAATAGTTATCCTATTTGTGCTATGGAAAGAAAAAAATTGGATGTCCAAATTACCATCTATTTAGTTTTATACCATATTGACTGAAATATTTTGGATCATTGTTTTTCACATGGAGAATTTGGCAAATTGGATATTCTTAAAGGCGTATGACTCTGTCATGAATTCTTACTTTTATTTTGCAGGTGTCAGAGGAGCTCCCAGTGTCCTATGTGTTGGCAATCTATCAGTCTCAAGGATCCCACGAGGTTTGTAATTGTGTCACTGACCTTTATATACTTTATTCTATTATTTGGCTTCTGGCATTATTTCTTTTCTATATCTATTTATATACTTTTGGTCTGTCTCTGCACTTTACAGCCAGGAATTGCTCGAGGGAGTTGAGAGGGAGAGGAACTTTAGGTTAAATCCGTCAAGAAATGCCACAATATTTCATCATCCAACACTGGGGGATTTTGAGTTACAACATGTTAGTAGTCTCTACTTGTGCTATTTTGGAAGCATATTTCTACTGTTATCATGCATTGTGTAATATTGTATTCTCGTACAGTTGCCAGTTGGAGCAAATGATGCTGATCTTGAAGAGCGTATAATCCAACACTTAGCTGCTGCAGCAGCAATGGGGCGAGCACGCCATATTGCTAGAAGGGAAGGCCAGAGAAATAGGTCATCAGCTCAAAGTCGTCCACAGTATTTGGTATTTTCAGCTCATCCCAATTCACCTCCTATGGCTCCTGCTTCTTCCTCTCCATCTCAGAGAGGTGATGGTGAACCAACTCATGCGACCGGAGAAGACACACCACAGCTCACTTTGATGCCTCCAGTTCAAACTGACCAGGTTTCTGCTTCAGGATCTGGGTCTACTGCTCCTGCTACCGACAATCAGGGATTATCATATAACAACAGGTAATGATTCTCTATTTTGGATTTCAGGATTTTTTTTTAAATTTTCTGTAAGTTAATAGTTGCCTAATTTTCAAGTTGTTGACGTTCCTATCGTGTTTTTATATTTTAAACAGGAGATCTCCTAGTCAGTCTTCTCCAAGTAGCCAAGACAGAGCAGGACCATCAGAACTCCAGTCATTTTCAGAATCTCTGAAATCTAAACTTAATGCTGTGTCAACAAGGTACTGGATGAAGTTACTAGTCTTTTGAAGTCTGATATATTTCAGTTCTCTAATTGTAACTTGAACTTCAATCTTTTCCTGTCTTTAGATACAAAGAGTCCATTTCGAAGAGCACACGAGGGTGGAAGGAAAGGTGGTTCTCTCGAAACAGCCCTATGTCTGACCTTGGAACTGAAGTTAAGCGAGAAGTCAATGCAGGGATTGCATCTGTGTCACGCATGATGGAGCGGTTGGAGACTAGAGAGAATGATAGAAGCGATGGCAATTCTGCTCCAAGTAATTTAGAGGACGGTCCAATTCAGGGATCAAATGATCAGCATTTAACTGACAGTGAAAGGGACAGTCTTTTAAGAGACAATGACATAAAAACATCTTGCACTGCAGGTTCCAGCTCAAATTAAGCATATAGAAGGAATTGCTTGAACTCAGATCTGTTTTGTCCTTAAGGTATTATCTTAACCAAACTGATTATTTTAGTAATGTAAACTGAATTCAGGCCCGGCCCTGTGCCTGTGCAACAAGACCCGCAGCACAGGGCCTCACATATTCGGGGGCCTCCTAATATATTTAGGCATGTAAGGTATTTTATATATTAACGTTACTAATAAATAATTATATTATCAATGTAGTGCAGTGGATGGATGCAATTGTAATTCTTAGACATGCTTGACATCCATAAAAACTACATACACTTGAAATGCAAACAGTTTATTACTATTATTTTAGCTATTGAAAAATGTTCATGATAAAATATAATATATGCTATGGTTTGCTAATTCTTCTTCTTCTTTTTGATAAAAATTTATTATGATTAAATAGATAAAAGAATTCTTAAATTTAAAATATTTTTGAATAACCTAGCTTAATGTAGTATTTATAAAATTTATACCGTTTTTTATTAGTTTAGCATGTTAAATATCACCTCCTATTAAAATCTCTTTGTATTTTTTTAAGAAATATGTTATGTTTTATACTAAAAATATATATTAATAGATTGGAGTATTAAAGTTTGTCATGTAAATTGTATTCAATTTATTTTATGGTTGTATGAGCTAGCAGCAAATCTAAAAGAATAGAGAAATTTTACTGACATAAAATATACGAAAATTATAGTAATCACATTTGTTGAAATATTTTAAAATAATTTTTTAATTTTCTTATTTTTTATGCTATTTACAATTTAAAATATTTTTATATTTTATTTTATTATGGGTTCTATTATTAAAATAGAACAGGGCCTCTAAATAGTTTGGGCCGGCCCTGACTGAATTATACATGTTCTGATTATTAACTCGTCGGAACAATTTCTTTTTGTCATCCAATGATTGCCCCTTTTGTTTTGTAGATATTATTTGATTTTTCTTTGTTGGCCTTTTTCTATTTTTCCATTATCTGTATGAATCTTGGAACATGTAGGCTGTCTTGATTTTTTTGCTGTTGAATAAAATACTCAATTATGTTTCAGCAAGGAGACTTGACTTGGTTTTTGTTGCGTAATGGACTATAGGACATTTTCTTTTCAAAGTGAAAGCTTAGTTATTTATATAATCTACATCCCTAGATTTGGAAGCTCTTTGTTTGTCTAAATTGCATTAATTCTAATTCTAATTATGCCATTACTGTGCTGATGGATTTTTCTATCGTATCAGGTAGGAATAGAGTTGCTCATTACTGGATGTGAAGTTTTGTGGATGTGGCGAATTTGATAATCCTTTGACCTGCAAAAGAGACCAACAATTGTTAAATTGGAAATAAAGAACTTAAAACAAAGATAGTGGTGGTCTCATTTGTTTGTTGCTCAGGAGCCTAAATGTGATTGTGTATATTCAGTTCACCTTGTAAACTTATTTATAAATTATATAGATATTCCTGAGATAATCTTCACATAAAACACTGTCTCTTGTAACTATCTATCAGTGTTTTTAAGCATAACATCACCCGGGCCATAATTGTTTGACTGTGAAATACTATCAATAATGTGCCTTTAAAGCCCTGATGACAGCACTAAAGAGGCTGGAAATCAGATCTAACCATTAAAACTCCCCATTTGAAGTCCCAACAGACAGGGTTATACAAGTTATAATCCATTTTTCGGTAGTAGTCTCGCTTGTGTGAAATTCAATTTTGGAGGGAGAGTTTTATTGCCAATTATGGTTATAAGGTTCAACTTGAGGAAGTTTGCCTGCTGTGAAGAGTAGTCTTGCATGTTTGAAATTCAATTTTGGAGGAAGAGTTTTATTGCCAATTATGGTTATAAGATTCAACCTGAGGAATAAAGGCTATACATTTGCCTGCTGTGAAGAAAACCTAATTTACTTATTTTAAGTGAAATCATGTAAATATTTACAATTTGCTGTATAATATGGAGTAATGATGCTGGATATATTCAAGGGACAAAAATTTAACTATTTTTGGTAGAAATGGCTAAGTGAGCCTGCTCGCCCCCGCTTAAACCTATAAAAAGCAAGGTGGGTCAATTTATCCAAATTTAAAACCTATAAAAAGCAAGGAGGGTCAATTTATCCAAATTTAAAATTAGGGGTGGTAAAACGGATCCATTAGACATGTGTGTTATGTACACATTTTTTGTGTGGAGCGAATTAAGGTTTTAGTCCCATATTTTTTAATGTGTTCGTCTTGTCTTATCATGTTTTTTAGACGCGAACATTAATTAATATAACTTTTTGTATTGAGCTTTAGAGGTGCACTTCGTAGTCCATCATACTTCCCTTATTTCTCGTGGTCCATCATACTCTTATTTTTTGTTGGGGTTGACTAAAGTTTTAGGTTTTAGCCCTTAACTATGCATCTCCAAACTAACGTTTTAGGTTCAGCCCTTAACTATGTGTCTCACTCTGTTTAGTTTTCTTTGGGCTTTTACATTGGAGATATCCTGTAATTTATACTAGTAACCAAAGTTACTTATGCTTGAAGTTATTGGTGTTACCTACACAAAGATGAAATATTCAATTGACTTTGTTTTTTTGAAATGTGAAAATATACCACAGATGATTGACACTAATTGCGATACTTCAGTCGCAAAAACATTTTCATCTTCATTTGTTTTATTTTGTCAGTATGACATAACAAAAAATGGGGAATATAAAATTATGGGATTCTTAGAAAAAAATCAAGAGTGAAGACGGAAAATGGTCAAACTAATTCTGGAACTTGTAATAGATGTGCAAAATATTATATTCAGTTTTCTATAAAGGATTCATATGTTGATTATGTCATGTATTTCAAAAGGTGTTACGAATCTGCCCTATAAATTTGAGCTCGATTAGAAGGTTAACGAATCTGTGAGCGTCGATTTAGTGAGACAGGTTTCAGAAAAATGGGAATAGGTTTCTCTCCTATTTTCTCTCTTATAATCCTTATTTTCTATATATATATCTCAATTTTAAATTGATCATCTCCACCTAAGTAAGTGAGACAAATGGGCTAATCATATTTGGGTCTTTCTCCACATAGTCCAAATTCAATAAATATCCCTCTCACGACTATATGGAGGAAATCGCTAAACCGACAATATCACAAGTTTCAAATTTCCCTCTTGGTAGGAATGTGAGTAGGTCAGACCGATCTACAACAACATATAACCTAGCTTATTTAAGGTCAGACCATACCAGACCTATTTAATAAAAAAGTAAGGCTTAAGCTTTTTTAAAAGCCTATTTAATTAAATAAGCCAGACTTAGGCTATTAAAAAATTCTATAAAGCCTTATAGGCCACCTATATTTTCATATATATTAAAAGTAGTCTAAATAGGCTCACCTATATATTCATATATATTAGAAAAAAATGCTAAATATGTTGGCTTACACATATATTATAAAAAATGTTAAGTAGGTCGGCCTATATATTCATATATAGACCGACATATAAGACTTCTTAAGTAATATAGATTAATTGAAAACCTTAATAAGAAACAGACTTTTAAATAAACTTTCAGGTTAGGTCAGACCTTTAAAAAGGTCAGGTCAGACCAAAAAAAGAGAGCCTATAGTAGGTTATAGGCCAGACTCAAGCCTTATAAGTTTATCGTAGGTCAGACCCAGGCCTTTTAAAGCCTAACCTAGTCTAGCCTATTTCCACCCCTACCTCTTGGTAATTCTTTAGTCATCATATTAAAACTATTATCATCTGTATGAACTTTAGCTAACTCCAACATCTTAGCATCCAAAACATCATGTATCTAATGATATCCCACATCAATGTGTTTAGACCTATTATGAAAATTCATATTCTTATCAAGATGAATAACCCTTTGACTATCAATAAATAACACAAATTTGTCTTGAACAAAACCAAGCTCTTGCAATTTTTTCAACCACAGTAACTCTTTGCATGCTTCGGTAATGACAATGAATTCAACCTCTATAATAGACAATGCTACACACTTTTGAAATCTGGATTGTCAATCCACAATCCCCTTGCAAATTTAATCATGTAATCCGAAGTGTAGTTTCGAGAATCAATATCTCTAGTCATAATAAAATCAGAGTACCCCACTAGAGTAAGTTTATCTCCTAAAACACAAAGCCTCGCAGAAGTAGTACCAGGAAGATACCTTGAAATCCATTTTACAACATTCCAATACTCTCTACCTGAATTTGACAAAAATCTACTGAGTGTATCAACAACATATACTATATCTGGTCTTGTGCACACCATTATATACATCAAACTACCCACAACAGACACATAAGGAACATGTTTGATATCAACCACTTCATTTTCACTCGAAGGACTTTGATTAGAACTCAACTTGAAATGAGTAGTAAAAGGAATGCTTACCGCCTTAGAACTTTCCATTTTGAACCTTTTGCAACACTATTTCGATATAATATTCTTGTGACATCTAAAGTTTCTTCTCTTTTCTATCAAGCATGATTCTAATGTCAAGAATCTATTTAGTTGCTCCAACGTCTTTCATGAAAAATGACTCTCTCATTGATACTTTAACCTGTTAATGTTAGAAATAATTTTTCCTATAATAAGCATATCATCAACATATAACAACAGGATAATTAAGTCGTCTTTAGAAAATTTTCTAACAAAGACGCAATGATCTGAAGTAGTCTTATATTATCCTTGATCAGATATAACATACTCAAACTTCTTGTACCACTGCCTTGGAGCTTGCTTCAACCCATATAAACTCTTTCTCAATCTACACACATGATCTTCTTTTTCTTTAACTTGAAAATTATTGGGTTGTTTCATGTAGATGTCTTCCTCCAAATCACCATGAAGGAAATCTGTGTTCACGTCTATTTGCTCAACCTCAAAATCAAGAGTAACAACCAAACTCAACATGGTTCTATTTGATGACATGTTTACGACAGGTGAGAAAATATCATTAAAATTAACACCATTTCTTTGAAGGAAACCTTTCGCCACTAATTTGCCTTTATATCTTGGAGACTTAGAGTTACTCTCATGTTTAACTCTATAAATCCACCTGTTTTCCAAAGCCCTTTTGCCTTTAGGCAACTTCACTAAATTATAAGTGTGATTATCATGCAATGATTTGATCTCATCATGCATTGCATCCAACCACATTTGATTTTCATCACTTTCCATGGCCTTTTGAAAACACTCAGATTCACCCTCACCAATTAAGGCCACATACTCGCCAGAATTATACATTATAGAAGGTTGTCTCTGCCTATTCGACCTCATAATTTGAACTTGAGATGATTCTAGAATTTCATCAAGATTCTCATCTTGTGACATATTGCTCTCCCCTTCACCATCATTAGTTGGAATATTTACATCATCTCCAAGTTGTTAATCATCAACATAATCATATGGCTCACCATTATGATCATCACCACCAATAGCATCTAGATTATGACTAGGTAACTGAACTGGATCAACATTAGACAAAATAATATCTTTCTTAGGTGTACCCTTCTCTACCTTATTAATATCGTTAATAGTTCAGTCTTCCATGAACACCACATCGCGAATTCAGATAAGGATTTTTCCTATAACATCACTTGTAACCAAACTCATCTTGCCCATAGCCGATGACGATAAATTGTTTTGACTTTACATCCAAATCAGATCTTTCTTCCTTTGGAATATGCACAAAAGCCTTACAACCAAAGACTCTCAAATGATCATACTTGACATTCTTTATAAACCAAAATTTTGTCTGGAACTTCATTGTTCAAAGCAATAATAGGAGTGAGATTAAGAACATGCACTGTCGTCTAAAGTGCCTCACCCTAATAATGATTAAACAACTTAGCTTTAAAAAGAACACACCTTAATCTATTAATCTATCAATTAGTGTTCGACTCATCCTATCTTCTAGACCATTCAATTGAGGAGTTTTAGAAGAGTCTTTTCATGTGGATACCATGCCGCTTACAATAGGAATCCAAGGGTCCATAATATTCTCCATCATTGTCTGACCAAACATACTTAAGCTTCTTGCCTGTCTGTATCTCAACCAAAGCATCTAATTCTTTGAAATTTTCCAACATTTAGTATTTTGTCTTCAAGGCATAAACACATAATTTTCTAGAGCATTCATTAATAAAGATAACAAAATAAAGTGCACCACTAAAAGATTTTACCTTAATGGACCACAAACATCAGAATGTATCAATTGAAGCAACTTTGACTTCCTTGAGGGAATATGTCTCTTGAAAGATACTCTAGTATGTTTATCAACCATGCAATGAGAACACTTATCCAAATCTGTATCCTTTAATCCAGGAAGAATATCCTTTTTGGCCAAAACATTCAACCCCTTTTCACTAATATGACTAAATCTTTGGTGCCACAAAGATGCTTCCATGTCGATAGCATTCACATTGTCCATAGCAACCAAATTTTTAGTCCAATACAGTTTAGAAAGTTTTTTCCCTCTAGCCACAACCAAGTTACCTTTGTTGAGTTTCCACTTTTCAGAACCAAAGTGATTGTCGTAACCATAACCATCAAGCATATGCACAAATATCAAATTAAAGCGGACATCTGGAACATGTTTGACACCTCTAAGCAACAATCACATTACCATGTTGGTTTACAAACAAACATCACCAACACCAATTACCTTAGATACACCATCTTTACCCATCTTCAACATTTCAAAATCACCATAAGTATAAGATGTGAAGAAATATTTCCTTAGTGTAACATGCAATGTAGAACCATTGTCAACTACCCACATGCTCTCGTCTGATACAAGATTAACAGACTCATGATCACAAAGAATAATAAAATTATCACTAGTAGCAGTAGTAACACGATCATCGTCATGATCTTCACGGTCTCTTTGTTTAGACTTACATTTCTTGCCTTTGTTATCTCTTTTCCATTGATAATAATACTTCTGTACGTGTCCTATTTTATGACAATAACGACACTCCAAATTCTTGTATCGCGACTTACACTTGCTTCTGCTATTCCATCTACCACCCATTCGGTTCCTTTTTATGACTTATCCCTTATTTTTAGTGACAACTACCTTAGATTGATATGAAGAACCCTGTGCCTTATTTCTCATCTCCTTATTAAGAATACCATCCTTATCCGTTTCCAAAGAAACAACACCTATAGGATCATAACTTGTGATAGAAACTCAAAACGTCTCCCAAGGCTCTGGTAAAGATAACAATAAAAATATTCCCAAAAATTTATCATCAAATTTGATACTCATTTCTGACATCTGATCAAGGAGCCCTTAAAATTCACTCAAGTGATATGAAATAAAAGTCCCCTTCCTATACTTCAAACTTATGAAGCTATTCAACAAGAACAATTTATTATTTCTTGATTTAAAGTCATACAAGGACTCTATCTTCTTCCACAAAGTTTTTTCACGTGTCTCATTGGCAATATGATTATAAACATTATCTTCTACATATTGTCGAATGAGACCACATACCTGTTGATGTTCAAATTCTCATTCTTCATCAGACACAAAATTCGACTTTGTGGAACTAAAAATCGGTAAATGAAATTTCTTCACAAATAGTAAGTTTTTCATCTTGCCATCCATAAATGGTAATTAGAACCATTCAACAATACTATCTTCATCTTTGTATTTGACTCCATCATTCAAACAAGTAAAATAGTCCTTAACCAAGAGCTCTGATGCCACTCTGATGTGAAATTAAGACACAATAACAGACCAATACACAATGAATATAAAATGTTCCATACTTGTAGAAACCTTGAGGATCAACAACAAATATATAACGGGAAATCGAACAAATAAAGACACAAAAGAACACCGATATTTTAACGTGAAAAACACCTCAATATAAGAGTAAAAACCTCAATATAAGAGTAAAAACCACAATTCGTCCAAACCAAAGAAATATCTCTACTCTAATCAATTAAAAATACAAGAGAGTCTTAAAGTGATTCACAAACTAATGCTAACAACTACAAATCACACAACAAACTAGCTTACAAAAGAATCAAAAAGCTGAACCTAAATATGTAGCTTCAATGCTAAGCTGATATCTCTCAACTTAGAACTTGTTTTGAAATTATGAATGGTTAAAAATTAGATACAGGTGTTACGAACCTGCCCTCCAAATTTAAGCTCGATCTGACGGCTAACGAATCTGGAATAGTCGATTTAGTGAGAGTGGTTGCAAAAAAATCAAAAATATGTTTCTCTCTTTTAAATCCTTATTTTCTCTCTATCTCTCAACCATAAATTAATCATTTTCACTTAAATAAATAAGACAAATAGACTAATCATAATCAGACCTTTCTTCACATATTAAAAAAAAAAAAACCAAATCCAATATCTTTCTCTTATACTTTTTAACATATATCCTATCTTTTAACAAAATATACATAATAATAAATACACATCGACCAATATTGGACCAATTTCTTTATATATATATATATATATATATATATATATATATATATATATATATATATATATATATATATATATATATATATATATATATATTTTTGTCATAGTTTGTTAATGAGTAATACTTTTTAAGATACACTCTCTTCTTAGTCTAAATTGTCCTAAGAGTCTTCAAATTTTTTGTAGAGAGAGAAATTATTGCTAGAAATTCTCATCAATTAATTTTTATACATAAGAAATATATTTCCTTTAATGAATATGACTTAATTTTAAGCTTTTAAAATCTCCACACTACATAATAATAATAACTTGCCCTAAACCTTGCATGCGATCTTAACTACTCTAATGAGGTTATTTTAGTCGAGAAAGAGATAACACGTTTGTTAATAAATCTAGAACATTTAACATTGATGACCGTAGATCAATTTGTCATTTGACGGTGAGATCACGAATATTGCAACCATTAAAAGGGATTTCTATAAATAGACACTGTTTCTATTGGTAGCAAGCTGGCTCATTGAAATTTCCCTTAGCAAAAATTTCAACCACAGTTTAGAATTGAGAATTAATGTCTGTACTCCACCTCTCAGTAGCAGCTGGCTATTGGACCCATCTCCACCAGGTCCAATTCTTCCCTTTTCACTACAATCCAACAAAATCAACACTCTAGTTTAAACAATACAATACAATACAACCGACAAAATCAACTCAACTAGTTATTTAATTACCCGCTAAAATATCACTCCACATCAAAGATATTTTTTTTTACACTATAGTTAAAAATTCCTTTAAAAATTCATTGCTATTGTCTTAATTTACCCACCAAACAACTCAAACAAAACCCAACATAGTCACATGAAGAAAAGAAAACCACTGGACACAAAACATCACACACCAGCAAAGCAATTATTTTTGCTGTCTTCTTCAGTCAAGCAAGTTCTTGATTCCATTCAACCGCATTCTCTCTCTTCCATTCGCCATGTATTCCCATTACCGCATCCATGGCGTTCTTCTTCTTGTTCTTTTCTTTCTCTCTATTTTCTCATCTTCTTCATCACCAACGAGTCAAATCAACTCCAACTCAGTTCTAGTAGCACTTCTTGACTCACATTACACTGAACTCGCTGAACTCATTGAAAAAGCTATGTTATTACAAACACTAGAAGACACAGTTGCAACCCACAATATCACGATTTTCGCACCGAACAATGAAGCTCTTGAACGAAATCTCGATACCGATTTCAAACAGTTTCTTCTCGAACCCGGTAATATCCATTCCCTCCAAACTCTTCTACTGTTCCACGTCATCCCAACCCGACTCGAAACCCAACAACAAACCGGGTCGACCCGTCACCACCACCAACACAAGACTCTCTCCAATCACAATCTTCACCTCACCACCAATTTCACCACCGGCCAATGGACTGTCGACCAAACCGAAGTCACCCACCCGAACTTCATAACCCGACCCGACGGTATCATCCACGGGATCCAGCGTCTTCTTATCCCAATCTCCGTAGAAAACGACTTCAACAACCGCCGCAGTCTCCGTTCCATCACCGCCGTAAAACCGGAAGGATCGCCAGAAATCGACACGAGAAATCACCGATTAAAAAAATCTACACCGCCGGAAAATTCTTCACCACCGACAATTTCGATCTACGAAGCGATAGCTCCAGGACCATCCCTAGCTCCAGCGCCAGCGCCGGGACCAGGCGGCCCACACCACCACTTCAACGGCGAGGCACAGGTGAAGGATTTCATCAAAACTTTACTCCATTACGGTGGTTACAATGAAATGGCTGATATTCTTGTAAACCTAACGTCGTTAGCAACTGAAATGAGTCGTTTAGTTTCGGAGGGTTACGTGTTAACGGTTTTGGCTCCAAACGACGAGGCTATGGCGAAGTTGACGACGGAGCAGTTAAGTGAACCGGGTTCACCGGAAGAGATAATGTATTACCATATTATCCCGGAGTATCAAACGGAAGAGAGTATGTATAATGCTGTTAGAAGGTTCGGGAAAGTTCGATACGATACGCTACGGTTGCCCCATAAGGTTGTGGCCGAGGAAGCTGACGGGTCTGTTAAATTTGGACATGGAGGCGTGGCGGGTTATTTGTTTGACCCGGATATTTATACCGATGGGAGAATCTCTGTGCAGGGGATTGATGGGGTTTTGTTTCCTATGGAGGAGGTAATGGAGCAGGTTAAACCCGTTTCAGAGATGGGTCAACCCGGTAAAGTCCTTGTCAAACACAGAAGAGGTTCGTTGCCACTTGCTACTTCTTTTCTCTTTTGTAGTCTTATGAGTTCTAATTATGAATGATAGAGTTGTTGTGTTCATATGACAATGCCTTCTAAGGACGAATAGATGCTTCTGCGTCAACATGGTCTTTTGCAGTTCCAAACATGTTCTAAGTAGTATGTAATTTAGGTTGTTATTAGTTACGACAAGTGTCAGGTGAAGTTTAAGAGATGTGAACTGGAAGTTGTTTTTGGAAAGTTGACAGATCTTTAGTATTGTTATTGTGATATTGCCCGAATTCGAACAAGAAAAGGTTAGAAAAAATGCAGGGTAGTGAATGCTATTAGAATTTCCTGATCTACCTTTGATGTAACCTTTTGTTTCATAGAAGGTTCAATTCAATATTGGTCCTGAAAATTGAATACTTATATCATTTATTACTAATGCCACATTTTTGTATCAAAATGTACATCAATCTGTTGTAGTTTGTGACTGATTAAATGAATGTTTCTTGTAGGGAAATTGCTGGAAACAGCATGCTGGATGCTTGGAACCTTTGGACAACATTCTAGATTCGCCTCTTGTCTTCAATGAAAAAGCCCTCGTTTTTGTTTTTTTTGGCTAGCAACATTCATTAAAACAAGGTAATGAACAATTTACAAGTATCGTTGTGTTTGTGCATCAAAACTCATCTGTTTCTGGTTTACTATTTGCCTAATTGTATTTAATTATGCTCAGTTGTTAGCTTTATTTCCTTCCTTATGGTAATTTACTCACTGCTAAAACATGCTTTGATGCAGATGCACATATTGATGGAAATCTCAAAGATCTTAATAAGTCAAATATGCAAATCTTGCTGGAGATAATAGCTACCATGGGTGTGATTTTCCCACATTTTTGTTTTGCTCTTTTTGTTTTCTCTTTCATTATTTCCTTCATGTGGATTTTCATTCTTAGACGAGTGAGCAAAAGCTTTCTCTAGTCTACTTGTTGAACAATTAGTGCATATATATATTTTTAGAGATTCAATTACTACTGCTACTGCAATGTCATAGGTGGGCTCTGTTGGGCTCAAAGGGTTTTTCGAACTGTAACTAGGCATTGAACCATTTTGATCAAGCTGATAACAAGCGATTTTCCCAAAGAAGTGGAAATACAATAACGAAACGATTCTTTGTTATAATACAACATCCCTAGCTTGGCAATTATTTCTTTTCTGTTGTTCACCCTTTCTTCTATTAATCTATTCTAAAAAAAGTTTTCCAGTAATGACAGACCAAATTTTACACATCTATTTTTGTTGTTATTTTTCATGACATGGTAATCAAATAGAGGAATGGGGGTAAAAAACCAACTTATAATCTCTCCAACATGCTTCATGTCAAATGGTAAACTGCAATGAAAGGCATCAAAACACTTCCTATCCAGAGTTTACCATCCTTCTCCTCCACTTCACTCACTGCTTTAACAGCTTTTCCCTCACTGTCCTCTAATATCTGTAGAATTTTACCTTCCGGGCTATATTTGACGACGACTGCATGGAACCTGCCTCCGGTATGCAGCAGATAATGAAACCGTGTTGGAATAGGTAGCTTGAGTATGGCTTTTCTCAATTTTGGGAAGCGAGCATTTATGTAACTGTACATATACCTTCTACAATGGATGGCTACCCAAAAATCACCATCTTCATTGACTCTCACATTGTCAGGAAAACCAGGTAGGATTGCCAATATTTCTGAAGTTCCAGCATTATCTCCTTTTAGCCAGAACTTGCGTAGCCTATAGGAAAAAAATGTTTCAATCATATTTCATCATCTTATCACATAATCACATTTTGTGTCTAAATAGAAAAACATGTTGGACATCTTTATAAAACATGTTTGCATCTTTAGTGTATTGTTATTAATCGAAAAAGGCATCATGTGATTACCAGCTCACCTTCCAATCATCCCTTCTGAAAAGACAAAGAAGGAACCATCCTTGCTTAAGGAAATCCCATTCGGAAATCCCACATTCCTCGCAAGAACAATGGTTTCCTTTGTGGCAGGGCTGTATTTCAAAACTCTTCCACTATTCTCACCAGAAAATATCAGCTGATTGAAATTCCTGCGAATAGAATGACATCAAAAGTCAGTACAACAAAACCAGTCAAGATCTTTTGTACTTCCTGCATCCCCGAATTACAACCTTCTCTGATATGTAGTGCTGCTATCAGTGAAATAAACGTTTCCTTCTGCATCAATGTCTACATCGTTAGTAAATCTCAACGGTACTCCTTCTGCCTCTCTTGCAAGAGATGTTGCTAAACCACCTTGAGGCCCCACCTTCATCAACCCAAAATACGCATCTGCAATGTATAAATCACCAGTTTTCTTGTCAAATCTTAGTCCCAAAGGTCTTCCACAGATGTGCTCAATCTCAACATAGCTAAGTGGTGATGCAGATGCCTTAGGATTGCATAGTTCTGACCTGTGTTCAGAAATACGGTGCAAGAAACATTATCATGCAATATTCAAAGGGAAATAGCAACAAAATATCTTTCCACCTATAATGGATAGATAACAACAGAAGAGATGTGTGACCTGTTGGATGAGGTATATGCAAAATCAGTCCAAGACAGTCCATTCCAAAACAAAACCCTTCCATCAGCAACACCAGTGTAAGGACCAAGACCATGAGGATCGAAAGCAATACTCTCTGGTCCCTGCACTTGGTTCACAAACACGAGCTTCGATTTTTGCAACAAGTTGTGTTTGTCATGGTCCATAGGAACCTCAGACCATGATGGCAAGTTAATTTTGTGCGCCTCAAAATCCGGGAAGCCTTGGAGAGGGCTATGCTTGAAAGGGTCTAATCCACAGTACACAGCAATCAAGAAGATTACAACAGCGAAACCTCGAGTCAGCGTTGTATATGTCATAACTATAGATAGATAGATCAAAGCTTGAGTAGAAGGGTATATGAATGTTGCAATGTTAAGCACAGAGAAAAAAGGTTTGTGGGTTGCATGATCTCAAATATGAAAGACAGGTAGGTGAGTCATTTGTAGCGTGTGTTTGATTTGTGAGTAAAAGTTGTAAGATTTTCAAAATATAGAACGAAACATGTTGGCTGTTAGTTGGTGAAAACAATAAGGTAGATAGATGTTTCTGAAGTTTTTGGTCAACAGCCAAACATTCAGGTGAACTGAACTACAATGTAGTGTTTGGAAGTGAGATGTTGGAATTTGGTAAGTTAGATATGAGTGTTGAACATGTTAATTTTTCTAAGGTGCTACCAGAATTTTAAAAAAAAATTCTAATGCAACTTATCTTTCTTTATACTTTTATACTTTATTTGGAAATTTAGAGGAAATGAGTTTCAAGCCAACATTAAAAAAAAATATAGGAAATGAGTTTCACTAATATTTTATATCATTATATTTTAACAGAATCATATTTATTTTCTTTTTTAATGATATAAATATTGAATTTATTGGATTTTAATAGTTGAGATTAAAACCGGATGAAAACAAGTGAAAGGTACAAGGGAGAGAATCCATTTCCCTCCTAACCAGTAACCACACATATTTTCATTTTCGAATAGAAATAAAAGTATCTAATAAGATTGGTTATCATTAATAAAACAACTCCCATTTAATATGCCCTTGTGTGATTTTTTTTCTAAAACACTTTTTATCTCTTATCTTTAATTCCAGATTTATATTAGTTCTCTGATTAAACAAAGATTTTTGTTGGTCATTTAATTTAACTAACTAGCTCCAAATTAGTATTTTCTACCAATTCTATTTAAATAACGTTAAAAAAAAAAATACTTGTGTGACATCCATGTCTAACATTTTTTACTGTGTTCTTTTTCATTGACTTCCATTGTTAAAGTGAATTAGGGTTTTTTGAAAACCTCATTTTCTCCCCTTTAAATGAATTTTCAACTCCAAATCACGATAGATCCTTAAGTGTTGGTGTGAGAATTTCAATGTATTTCGAAGGGCTATCATTGTCATGAATTTTAGAAAACAATTTTAAAGATGTGCACATTTAGGATACATTTTGGAAATTTATTGTTAAATTTTTTTTAAAATACTTAGAAAACATGGTTTGATTTTTTCACACAGGCGTTACCATTTATTTTTAACTCTCATTTGGTTATGTAGGGACCCATGATGGTGAGAATATAAACAATGTTTAGAAGGGAGATTGAATAGATTAAATTTTCTTAGACAATTTGAAAATTTTTTTACGTTCCACAAAACTAAATCGGAGATTTTAAAGAAACGCAGAAGCAAAATACAAAACACAAGAGCTTGGAAGCATCTCAATGAATCAAGCCACATGACATGGTACATGAAGTTACCATGAAATTAATTGCTTCTAGTGCAAGTCACTTTTATGACAACCAAAATCGCTTTAAACGAAGCGATTTAAAAACACATTACTTAGATGTTTTTAACAATGTATAATTGACTTTATGATGATTCCATAAGATTGATACACTACAGACCTACGCTTATACATTAAATCTCTATAAGTACGGTCTAACCTATGTGGTATACAATCATTGCAATGATGAAATAACGAAAGAAAAAAAGAATGAATGCTTGTAAAGTAAAAGAGATAGGGAAAGGAAAAGATACACAGATATATATGCTTCGACATTCGTCATCGCTTTGCCTACATGCATTTTTCAATAGATGATGCCATCGAAACATAATCACGAGCTTCCACTATTTTGATAAAATGTTTACAACGTTTTGATTACAAATAACTATCACACCATAATTGCCTCTGATGACGCAGACACTAAACTTCTAACAAAATGCAAGATCCCTCAAGATCTTGATAATAACCTTGCTATCCACAATAACCTGTTCCAAGTATTCGTGTGTGGTGATCCCTCTGATCCCACCGGTTTCTTATATGAGCGGTTGCCATTAACCTAGCGTATATTGGACAACTCCTAACTTTGTCTACAAGAAATCTTTCTCCAACACCACTAAACAAGGAAAACTTCATACTCCTTCTTACGGGCCAATGATACTTGATCTTGCCAAAGTCTTCCTTAGAGTATAAGGGAAACTCCCATCTTGGTAGATAACAACTCAATGCCAAACTGCACTCAAGAAACGAAACCTGCACATTTTACAATAAAAATCCAACTACACACAAAAATATTAGATACCCTAATGTATCACTAGTCTCTCTTACACTCAATCTTTAGAGGAGATTCCTTACTCAAAGGAAAAAAACTAAGGGTGAAGATGGCGAACAGTGCCATATAATCTCAACAACCACTGACATTATGAGCTGTTAGTTAAGTAATTCAGTTTTAATGAATGATGAACACACACACACACACAAACAAACACAAGGTTCAATCAAATTTCTAGATGATTGAGTCTTAGTTCTTGATTGTTATCGATAGCTTGATCAAATATAAACAAGATTGATCAACTCATTCTCAAATTAACACAAGAACAACAACCAAATTTTACAAAACAAGATGCAACAAAAACAATAAAGAATTGACATGGATTCAATATCAAAAGATTGAATGATTGGAAAAGAAGAGGGAAATATGGTGTAAAGATGAACACA